TAAACATTCAAAAAACCCCCAATTCCCAGTCGATTATAATGTGCAGCCAGAGTTGACATGAAAGATCTGGATTTGAATCTTGCTAGTATTAGCTGTGCGACATGAGGCAAGTTACTGAACCTCTCTGAGCTTCACTTCACTCCTGTGAGAAATGGAGCTGATAAAGCGTGCCTTTCAAGATGGCTGGGAGATTAGGTGAAATAAAGCATATGACTTGCCCGACACAGAATATTGAGTATTTGTCCTTAAATGTTGGTTTCCTTTCTAAGAATCTGAATCTTGATTCAGTGATTAAAATTAGAGAACCGGTTTTTGTTGGTGAGTTTCCTTTTCTAGTGTGTTCCTGAGCACATTCTCAATAATCCTCATCGAACATTCAGGAATGGCTCTCAATTTCCAAAGTAAGGCGATGGGACAGAGTGCACAGCCACCAAGAAGGTAATCCTTATTTCACTGACGAGTGGGAGTCTGGTGGGTTGCCTGGAGGAAGTGAACCTTCTGGCTGGTATTAGACGGTGGAGTAGGGCTTTCCAGAATGAAACCACATGGCAGTGGATGCACAAATACAACTTTAAGCGGCTTCAAGTCACATATTGAGAAAACCGTTGCCTTTTCAATTCTCTTTCTTAAGTTTACTTTGAGAGAGTGAGAGAGAGAGAGAGAGAGAGAGAGCACTCGCGTGTGAGAGCACAAGTAAGTGGGGGAGGGTCAGAGAGTGAGGGGCAGAGAGAGAATCCCAAGCAGGAGCCACACTGTCAGCACCGAGCCTGATGCGAACTCACGAACTGCAAGATCACGACCTGAGCTGAAACCAAGAGTTGGACGCTTAACTGACTAAGCCACCCAGGCGCCCCTCAGTTCTCTTCCGGTAATATTTCTTGTCCTAGAAAGACATTTTGCTTGCTAATATCACTATGTAAACAGAAGAGATCTCAGAGCCTTTTCACTTAGAGTTTAACAGTGTTTCATTTTAATTATGTTTCTGTTCGGGTTGCCTTTTATTTATGGCGAGTATTTATTTATTTATTTATTTATGGCAAGTGGCACTGGTTTTCCATTTAGAATAACGAGTGCATGTGAGGAAACACGTGCCTGAACTCCTCGGTGAACACCGGAGGAGTGCTAAGCAGATAGGGACATAGTCATAAGGGTGGGAAATTCCAGGGCTCACCTGTGAGACCCCAGGCTGGAACAGTAACACACTCTTTCTGGGACCCAGCTTCCCAAAACCTGAACCAAAAGTGTTAGACTTGACGATGCCAATGATTGCTATCAATTTAAATACATAGGATATTTAACTTTCATTTAAAAAATTTTCAATGTCTAATTATTCTTGAGAGAGAGAGACACACAGTGTGAGTGGGGGAGGGGCAGAGAGAGCAAGACACAGAATCCAAAGCAGGCTTCAGGCTCTGAGCTGTCAGCACAGAGCCTGAGGTGGGGCTGGAACTCTGTGAACCGTGAATGAGATCACGACCTGAGCCGAAGTCAGACGCTTAACCGACTGGGCCACGTAGGCGCCCCAAGTATAGATGATATTTAAATTCGCCACTATTTGGGCTTTTCCAGATAATCTTGTTCATTACAGATATATAAAAATATATATCAAAGGAAATGGGATAAAAGTGAACTTTTTCTCTATTTCATGTCTACCGTAGAAGAACTTGTGGGTTACTCATTCTTAATAAAGTCATTCTCTACTGGGATCCATGCTGTTCTACTAGAGTTTTCTTGTCTTGCTGATAGACCCAAGTCATTAATTTTGAAGGCTGTTGTGATCTGGGCGATTACCTGCATTCAGGTGTAACGCCCAAGCCAGGTGTATTCTTTTGTGAATTTCCTAAACAATTAGATCTGTGGATTACTGCTGGGTTAGCGTATTTCCTTCTTTTCAGCAGTCTTGAGAAATCTGAACTACAGGACAGAGTCTCACCCTGCAGAGTGGTAATAAAACACATTAATCCGGTGGTTTGGATAGAAAGCTGGATCAGTGCTTTGCCTGTTGCTAACTACGTGAGTTTTGGTCTGTAGCACACAAAGGGTGTGGGGCCGGTGTACTGGGCACGAGGGATGTGGGACCCTCTCGGTCGTCAGTGTTGTTCCCTGAGGTTGTTGCCCACTCGGAAAGGCCAGAGCTAGCATGAGGATAGCAAGGCACTCAGGGTGCAGAATTTTAGGAGGCAGTCCTATGTTCCTGTACGTGTTCCCCCAAGGTCTGGCCCCCTGAAAACTGGCTGTGTGTGAGCCAGGGGTTTCTCTCACCACTGTTCTGGGTGGTGGAGACCCAATGTATCCGGCCCAGTCGCCCTCCTGCTTCTGCCCTTCTTACTCTATGCCTTTCATCCCTTGGGTGCGTGATTATTGTCAGCCTTTGGTGAAGGACTCCCTCCTCTGCCAGTTCAAAGTCTCCTTTCCTAGTGCTGATTCCTACACCACCCCTGTTTTATGTAGTTCCCCGGGATGAGAATGTATCCTTCTTGTACCCCAAGCGTTGTTCTAGCCCCCTTTTTGGTGCATTATTTTCTCTAATCCTTTCTACATTATTTCTCCCACCCCTGCAAGGGGGAAACTTGAAGCTTGGAAAATGACCTGGTTTGCCCCCAGGTGATAATCGTTCTGAAATAAGCGATTCTCCATGACCCCATCCTAAAGAAAGTTTTTTCAGAATTTCCCAGTAGAGGAGAAATGTTGAGGGAATTTCCCAGAAGGTCAAATTGTCTGGGATGGATGTGACCTTATTTTGATTCGGGTTGGGAAAATACTGATGACAAAACACTATAGCTCTTTTGGTGGCAAATGGGTTTTAAAGAATAAGAAAGAACATGAAGGTGGGTGCCTCTTTGGGAGCTGGTTTTGACGCAGGGGATTCATGGACCACACAGCTGTAGGCCACCTCATAAAGGGAACGGGGTCCTTGGCTCTGGAGTTGAGGGTGGATCCGTGCATCTTATTCAGTGACGTATCCTAGCAATGGTGGGTGGCTCTGGGCATGAGACTAAATTGTTTGGAAGTCCGTGGAAATGTGGTGGTAAGGACACGGAGAGTTTGGCAGCAATGTATTCGCTCACAAATACTTGGTAAGCATCTGCTAAGTGCCACACGTGATTCTCAGTGCTGGGGATACAGAAGTAAACCACCAGATGAGAGCCTGGCTCTCTGGAAGCTGTGGAGATAAGCCACCACTTGAAGGTGGAGCAGAGGAGTGTGCAAGGAGACCAGGAAGGAGTGATCAGGCAGGTGGCTGGAAAACTGGGAGGAGATGCTGTTGGGTAAGCCTAGAGAAGGCTATTTCCAGTATCTAGACAGGCTAAAGCTTCATCAGAGGGCATAGGAATCTGAGGAGAGGGGGCTATCAAACATCTTCGTATACCCTGACAACTTAAAACTGTTCTCCTCTGGCCTTTTGCTGAGAGGCTCTACTCTAACATTCACACGTCCAAAGAACAAATGATGTGCAACGGTAAGGAGGCATATATGTGTTGATGCATATACTTGCACTAATGCTGGGTTCGTGCTGCGTTCCTCTGGGAGGCAAATTTTGTCGCCTGTGGTGTGCTTGAAAACGAGGCATTTGACGTGGTATTCTTTTTTGGGGTCAAAACAGATCCGAGCACCATACGTAAGCTTGCCGAGCTGCGAACGGAGCAGCGATTTCCTGAGACGAGGTGTGTGTCTGCCAGGATCAACCACAGGCCCTGCCAGATCCTTGTGGGAGATGAAATGCCAGGGAGCAGCCCGCTACCACAAAGAGAAGCTGAATGGCAGGAACACCTCCAACGGCAGAACATTTAGAAATCGTTCCTTGGAAACCAATTTCCCTTTGTGCAATCATGACAATACCAAGATACCAACCCGTTTGCTCCTGAGAATAATTACCATTGCCATTTGTAGAATCCTTGAGAGTTTATAAAGTGCTTCCAGGGATGTTATCTTATGGACGGTATTTGAAGGTGGAGTGTGTGGTCGGCTCGGACAAGGAGCCCTCCTATGCCAGCTCGCACAGGCCCTTGTCTCCTTTCCAGAGTGGAGCCATGGAAACCGTGGCTGCCCCTTGGGACTGGTGTCCGGCCTTTAAATGACTGGCTTCCCAACAATTTTGGAAATGAGAAATCATGACTCTCAATTGCGAGAGTATGGAAGAGTTTCTATTTTCTCCTACATATCTTGAGTTTTCCAAATTTTCGGTGATAAACACGGCTACATTTGTAATTAGAAAAACAAAGTTGTTTAAAAAATCAGGGGAAGTAAGCTTCTGAAATGTGCCGTGGGTTTGGCCACCTGCTTTGGTCGAGCTTCCTGGGTCAGAAGAACCATTCTGTTTTGGAAGAGGGGCCAGAGAGGTCATGTAGGCAACCCCATTCGTGTAGCAGAGTGCAGAGAATGCAGCCAACCAAGAAGCAGTGTCCTACTTCTTTAAAATAGATACTTGGAGAGCTTAAACGCCAGCCGAGCGAAGCTGGAGATATCAATCCTTTTTGAGGAAGTGAGATGGGTTCTGAAGGTGCTATTTTCTCTTTCAGATAGTTCATTTTTTAATGAAATAATACGTGCTTCTGAAATGTGACAAAAAATTTGGAGATGATCTCAAAAAATTTTTCCCCAATCTTTTTTTTTTTTTTTTTAAATGTTTATTCATCTTTGAGAGAGAGAGACAGACAGAGCATGAGCGGGGAAGGGGCAGAGAGAGGGAGGGAGACACAGAATCCAAAGCAGTCTCCAGTCTCTGAGCTGCCAGCACAGAGCCTGACGCAGGGCTCGAACCCATAAACTGTGAGATCATGACCCGAGCCACAGTCGGGTGCTTAACCGACTGAGCCACCCAGGTGCCCCTTCTTTATTTAAAGTCTAATCCCAGATTATTTTTTCCTAACTCCAGTTTCTATAATAAATATTTATCAGAAGCCTGCTCAGCTTCTGAATCCTTGTAATGATTTTTCCCTATTTTTATTCAATTTCCCATTGTTCTTCATGTTTTAATATAGAAAAGATATTTCACTTACACTTGGCCTTGTTCTCTTGTGCTGGTCACATCTCTTACTCAGAAGTCAAGCTCGATTTGATTTCCAGGGGGACCCTTCAGGACTGAGATGAAAGTTCTTTCCATGCTTCCTGGCTCTAACATTCTGCAAAAATGGAATGCACAGAAGTGAAAGTTCCTAGCATGTACTGTGACTAGAACTTTCCATGTCCCTGTCTCCTCCCCCCCTTATATTATGTCATCTAAGAGACAATATCTCCTGTCATGCTAGAAATTATTCCCACCTTCTGTGTATTTATTGAAAAATACCCAATAGGGGCTATGATATCATCTAATGGCTACTTACTTGAGAGTCTTATAATCTGAGTACTCACCCCAGTTCTACTTCTGACCAGCTTGGTGAAATTTCGTGAATTACTTCATATCATTGAGCTTCACTTTCCTAAAATGAAGATAATGATATTGTTATTATTGTGTGTGGTGACGTTAAAGAGAGATATTTATAAAGTATCTAGCACAGTGCATTGTACATTTTTTAAAAAGCTTATTTATTTTGAGGGAGACAGAGACAGCACTAGTAGCACTAGTAGGGTAGGGGCAGAGAGAGACAGAGGGAGAGAGAGAGAGAATCCCAAGCAGGCTCCATGCTGCCAGCACAGAACCCAATGTGGGGCTTGAACTCACAAAACTGTGAGATCATGACCTGAGCCAAAACCAAGAGTTGGACACTTACATGAATGAGCCACCCAGGCTCCCCAGTGCATTGTAAATTGTAAATATTAGCTGCTGTTATCATTTTTAACATTACTATTCTGTCTTTGAATACAGGTATGAACAAACGCATTGATTGGCGTGGAGGGAAATGAAACAGTGAACTGAGAGCTTTGAAGAGAAGCACCCTATGGTGGAAAGGCAGCTGCTCAATTTTGTCATTGACACAGATGTGAAATTCCTGAATCTTGGTGGACAATAGAGGGATATTTTCAATCAGGCACAGGAATGGTGAGTCACAAAATGGGTTTCTAATCTGGTTTGATCTGTTTCTTAAGTAGTAGAACTTCCTTAAGATTCTGAGAAGAGTTTGATTGCAAATCAGTTTTCTTATTGCTGTCATGTTTCATCTTCCGCGTCGTCATAGGTATTTTTGTGGGATGGCTGATGGTGGTGTGTCCAGAGCTGTTACCCAGTTGTAGTGTTAAGCTGGAACTCTGCAGGTGTATTTCTCAGTTAGTTTTCAAATACAAATGACCAATTTAACCAGTGAGATGCATGAAAACAAGATACGTTGCATGGGTGATTTCTTTCATTTCTTAGAGGTCTACGCATAATTCTGCTTTTATCCAGATTTCACTTGTTAAATGTGTTCTAAGCCAGAGATGATGGAACCTTCTCTTTTGTTTCCTTATCATGTTGATAGTCTATCATTGTCATATCATGCCATAATGAAATTACATGTTTTGCATTCTTATGGACCTTTTTAACCACTTATTTCTGTTTCCTATAAGCATTCTTCAGGATCAAGCTCAGAGTTGAATTCAGTGCCCTTGGGCATTGAGATTTAAATACCTTTGAAAAGGATGCTCGAACTTCACTGTATGATACAGCGCTTGTGCTAAAACCATTGTTATTCTAAAGAATAAATCTTAGAATGTGGATTATTTCTTTATGTTGTGGAAAGGTAGATATGTTTTTAGTTGCAGCGTTTTTGAGATAACCCCCATGTGGCTCGCCAGAGTTCAGACTGTAAGCTGTTCTGTTTTTCTGTTGACGGAGAATGCTGGGAGAAGCTTATTTGGTAGTAATGGATAGAAAAGCGTCCCACTGGGTAGGGGCGGTACTGTCCAGCCTGAGTTTTGCCAAGGCTGTGTCCAATTACCCCTTAATAAATTTACCACTGACATGGGCACTTAATTGTAAAATGTTTTCAATTCTCTGAAAAACTCTCCTCAGACGTAGGTCATTACCATTATCACCCCATTGTTCACAAAGTCTAGTGTAATTCCATATGTCTCATGGGTTTTTGGTTTCTTTAGTCAATTCACTTCCATTAATATTTACTGAGGTGACATTTGGTTGCTTGGGCCATGACAAATGGTGAGGTTAGAATGCCTCGTTCTGTGGTTGGGACGTTGGGACATTGGACATGATGCCTTTCTTTTGAGCATAAGAAATACAAGGAAACAAACCAATTAGCCCTTCAAGTGAGTGCTGAGGATGCCAGGGACATGTGGTTAAGTTACATAATGATGAGAAAGTCAAAAGAAGTACCAACCTAGAGCTGGAGAAAAGAGGCCACTATTTTGAAGATTTGGCCTTATCTTCCAGGCGTGCTATCATTCATGGGGACTGTGAGGGCTCTAGTATCTCAGATATCTGTCCTGATGATGAATAAGTTAGTGGAAAGTTAGGGACTAACTTGACTAAAAGGATTCAATATGGCCAAAGATTTTTCCAGCAATGCTGTCCTGAAAAGTGTCAGTATCTTCCGTCCCCTTGTCTCTCTGTCTGATATGCATTACTTGAGAGTAGACCAGTTACAGGAATTCCTTCTGGAAAAGTCCATGGTACAAAGCACAACCCACCCTCATTTAAGTTAGGGTTAGGTCCCTGGAATGAAAGGCTTCAATGACCTATCATCGGCATGTCTTGGGGAAAAAGGGAGGAAAAAAGGGGAAAAGGAATCGACATTTGCTGAAAAACTACAGTGTGGAATATGAGGCACCAGGTGCTTTACAAACATTGTTTTGTTTAATCCACAAAACATGCTGCTGGTGTGATTCCTCTGGTGTCCCCTTTCACCTGATGGTAATAATAATATTCTCCCTTTTTTCATAGATGAGGAACCTGAGGGCAGGGGATATGTTTCACCTACTCGAGTTCCCATGGTATGTGAGTCTAGATTCAGTCCTAGTCAGCCAATGGTTCTCAAACTTCAGGTATCAGAATCACCTGGAGAGCTCATTAAACCACAGACTGAGGGACTCTTTCTTAGAGTTGCTACTTAAGTTGATTTGGGGTAGAGCTCAAGAATTTGCCTTTCTTACAAGTTCCCAGGTGATGTTGATAATACTGGCTTAAAACTATTCTTTGAGAACGCCTGTTCCACACTATACTGTATTTTCAGAAACAAGAGTTAAACTGGAAAGGTGGACCCAGTTGACTGACTTCCTTAATTTTAGCCCCGAACATTAGGCAACATCCCCTTAAAGGTACCTAGCCTGCTGTTGCCAATGTTCCCTGGGTTCCTGTAAAAATTCTACCATGGTTTTGGTCTCTAGTTCTCGAATTAGTCCATTTGATATTTGATGTCACCACCAGAGCCTTTGAACAGTTAATAAATGAGATGTATGCTTATGGAATACAGTTGATTTCTAGATTTGTTTGCTTGATCTGGCCTTGGATGAGTCTTTTATCTTGGCAGCCCTGGCCCATCTAAATCATAGCACCTGTAGGGCAGTCACACGAAATTCAGGTGTAAGAGCTTGGAGATGAAGTTCCTGGGTCATACCCAACCCAGCCATGGCAACTTCATGATATCAGATAAGGGATCAGGGCAGTCCCAGGATGGAAGGTCTCCAGTATAATCCATAGTAGCCAATGATTTCTGGATTTACTATGTATTATTATTGATACACATTCTACATCTTCAAAAGGAAGTGGTTTGTCTTGGTCCCAGGAATGGTCCCGACTGTGGCAGAAGATTAGACTCTGAATGAAACCTTAAATTCAGGTAGGACCCTGACTGACTTTTTTGCCATCACAACGGATGCCTATTCTTTTGGGGTCGTCTCACCTATATTTAGTGAGTAAACTATCACCCACAGAACTCTAGCTCTGGCCTCTCCTATGAGATCCAGATTTGACTTTCTAACTGTATCTGGGTACCTTTTCTGTATGTGCCTCACTGACTCACTACAATGCACTTTGTTCTAGTTACTACGACTGTGTAGTTTAGCGACTAAAAAATGTCAACAATCCTTTTGCCTCCAAATCAGCGGTTTGGGTAGGATTTAGCAGGGTTGATTTGTCTCTGGGACAGCTCAAAGATTAGGAACTAAAGCCATCTTTCTGGGAGTTGATGTTGCTGGTTGAGCCATAACTGGGACTAGTTTCCCAGGGAGAATGTACATATAGAGAAAAAGAGAACTAGAGAGCCATGCAGAAGCCATGTCATTGTCCTTTACGACTTAGCCTCAGAAATCACACAGCATTACTTTCCCCACATTCTATTCATTGAAGCAATTACAATGTGTTGATCAGGGGAGGAGAATAAACTTTGCCTCTTAGTGGGAAGAATGGCAGTCATTCCATGAAAAGAGCATGTGACATATATACACACATATGTCTGTGTGTATCTATGTACGGACACGGCCATCTTCAGAAAATAAAATCTGCAGTGCACATCTTAGTAAGTCACTAAAGATGGTGTTCGTGAGCAACAGGATGGCCAATCGGTCATGAATGTTTTTGCACACATTCTTGGATGCTGAGCACATATACAGAGGTAGGGAAAATCAAAAGAGAAATACACTTAGCTAATCCTGACGTAAGAAAGTATTCAGTTTAAATGTCCAATAGGTAAAAGAAGAGAATGCAATCATTATCCTTTCTCCCACAAAACAAAGAAGTAGGAGGAAAACAAAGAATCATATTTATGATAGTGCCATGCTTTATCATTTACAAAGAACTTTTGCATACATTGTTTAATTACAACTTCAGAAAAGTTTTGTGAGTGTTATAGTAGTATATAAAACACATTCTTAACATGTTAGAGATTCGTGGGGGGGGGATTTTAGATGGTCTGGAGACAATAGAATTGGGGACAGCCAGCTTAGAAAGATTTCATGAGAGAGGATTCTTTAGCAGAATCCCAAAAGAACAAGAAATGACTTGAAGAAGAGGCATTTGAAAGTCCTTTTGAGGAAAAGAAATAAGTAAAAATTCAGAATGGGACAAAGAATTCAGTTTCAGGGAGAAGCAGGGAGATGAAAAAATGTAGACTATTGTGGGCAGAAAAATGGATAAAGGGAGAAGACATTTAAATTGCAGCCCAAATTCCTGATGAGGGGTCTTATTGAACTTCTGAGGCAGTTGGATATCGTTACAGGGTCATGCAAAGGACCATGATGTGATCAG